AGCAAATCCGATACCTAGTACTCCACCTGGACAAACGACTAACTTGGAATCCTCATACTAGACTGAAACGACAAGAAACCGCTCGACGTTTCCGATTACTTCAGCACTTACTAGACAAACGCTCTAAACTTCCCATTAATTACAACAGACTCATATACTTGACTATAATAAGACCTATTTGGACTTACGGAGTTGAGCTATGGGGCTCCACTAAACCATCGAATTCCTCTCGCATCCAATCCTTACAATCCAAAATCCTTCGTAAAATCCTCAATGCTCCTTACTTTGTCACTAATAAAATTATCCATAAAGATCTTAATGTTCCTTATGTTTCAGATCTGGCCCAATCCAGATACCTATCCTTCCATAATAAACTTCAGAATCATCCCAACCCTCTCGTTTCTAACCTTGCTTCCTCTTCAATTCCTGATAACCCTCCGAGGCGTCTGAAAAGAAGATGGCCCCGTGATCTCCTAATGTAGTCATATCATTAGAGTGCTACCATTGGGTAGTTACTCAGCAAGTGTATTCATGTCATTATATCAATTATGTTCAAATTTACTTGATGTATTTATGTAATACAGTTGTAAATGTCATAAATAAATAAAAAAAAAAAAAAAAAAAAAAAATTTTCATTCGCTTATAGCAGTGCAACCACTTGCGCACTTAATCAAAGAACACAACTGAATATCTAATTAAGATGACTGAAGAGACGAAAATTTGGATAAAATTGAAATAAAGCAATTATTTATCGAGAATGAAAAGGCCTTTTTATACTAATATTATTATAGTCTCTTTCTCAAGATCATCTTTTATTTATTCATAATTTAATTTTTAAGTGATTTAATAGCGTTAAATAGGCCTTAGAAGTACATTATAATATATATAATAGAATAGAATATATAAACCTAATTTAATTCTATTTGTTCAGGTACTTGAGATAGGAAATAGGTGAAAATTTCTAATTACTTTTATGTTTTCCGACTCTTGAGTAATTCTTAATTTTCTTTCATTAAGCCAAATATACGGTTTATAAGATGAACGATGATGGACAATGGACGAACAGAACCTGAGGTTGGAGCAAGGAGTGATATTAGGCAACCCGCAACACAAGTAATTGAAATGAGGTTGCACTTTCAATTGAACAAGTAAAGTACGGAGAACTTCCTTCAGTATAAGTAAAAAGGCGTATTGATTTAAAACTTGTTCGGTTACAATTCATGCATGGGAGTGATATGTCCACAATTACACTTTTAAAAAATGAATATCCTTCATTTTTATTTCCGAATCATAATAAATTTTGTGAATGAAAATGAAAATGGACAAAATTCATTTTGATCAGAAACTTGTTATATGAAAATATATAAATAAAAAATTTTAAAACTTTTAAAAAAATATATAGCAAAGAAGCACCATGAAAAGAAATTGTGCTTTAACACAAAAAAAGATTATGTAAAGAACTTTTTGCATTCTTATAATTTGAGATAATACCCATTTCGCTACAGAATAAAACATGAAGAAATAGCTGTGTAATATATAATTATGCAAAAGAAGTTTTTTAAATGTTTTATTTATTTTTTTAAGAAAGTGTTTTCTTCCTACTTAAAAAAAATGATCGATATGTAGAACATAAGTGATATTTCATAACCTTAAATCGCGCTTGTAACTATACATAAATAGATTTTTTAATTTTATTTATACTGTCTTTCTTGAGATTAAAAAAGCTTTTAATAGTGTATGGCAGTAACTAAAACCACACTTATATCCTACTTATTTTCTAATTCTTCCATCCGTCTTTCTTAAGAGGTTTTACTATATTTCCGTAGATTCTTTAGCTTCCTCCTTCTTCCTTCTACATACTGGTGTAATCCACAAGGTAGCGTTCAAAGCCCAATCGTCTAATATCTATATCGTCTAATACATCTAATATTTCTGCTGAGTAATTATCATATCAGCTGATTGATGCCATTATCAAGAAAATATTCAGCTATATCAAATTTGCTGGATGCGCATTTGCAAATATAGTAAGGGATAAAAATTATTTTTTTTTTATATTTTAAAAGAAAAAAAAACCTATACCACTACAATAAAGTGTCCTGGGTTCAGAACTTTATAACTTTTTCAAGGTTGTGAGGGAGGTGATCGGGATGGAATCACGCTCAATCACCAGGTTGATTAATGTTAATTAATATTAATAATTAATAGGGAATAATTATTTAATTAAGAGTACCCGCTTTATACAGGATGGGTGTGCCCCAGGACGGTCTCCTGGCTGAAGGATTGATCCACGGCTGATGAAACAGAATAAATATTTAGCTTCCATCAGCCGAACTCGAATCTGGGACCTTGATCTTAGAAAGTCAGTGACTTACCCTCTGAGCTACCTAGCTGCCTACACATAGATATGGAAGGAATATTTTTATTAATTGTGGGATTTTATGTTTAAATATGTATATATAATGGGTATATTCTATGATATAAAAATTTTCTTTTTTTTTAGATTCCCAAATTTGTAAAATGTAATTCATAAGAGCGTATTATGGATCAATTTAGAGGGAGGAGAGGAAGGAGGTCAGAACCCATTGGCCCGCCCCGATATTCATGTTCACTCAACTGTCCTACGGGGATTTCAATAACTGGTTTAGACAAAGGTGTCTCCCATCCCGTCCCTGCTCCATCCCCCAATCCTTAATCCATTTCGCCAAGCGTCCTCTGCACTGATTATTATTACACATCATTAAAATTTGAAGATATTCTGGTCTTAATCATAAGAATTCACCTATTTTATTTCAGTATAGTGTAGTCTTCTCATTAAAAATTATTCAATAGAAGGTTTAATAAATATGCTATTACTACAATGTATTAAAAGAACCGAAAAGACGTTTAAGCCTACTATGTGCTGTATTCTCTTCTGGTGTATGTATCCGATCGCCATATTAATATTTTATTCACTTTATTAATAACGTTCATAATTATTACATATTGATTCAGATACCTTTTTGAAAAATTTTGCCTTTGATACAATCATTTAAATCTTCGCCTTCTCTTAACCTTCTAATACTCATTTCCTATATTGAAGTTTCATCGATGATGCATTTAAATGAATGAATTAAAATTTACCTATGTTTCGCAGCATATTCGCTCAATTAAAACGCCAATGGTCACAATCTCCTCGTTGATTCTCGGTACTCATTTTCACTAAACCTCAATTAGTTTTCATGGATATTCCATTTTATATTTGTATAGTTATATATTGTAATTATCTAATAAATGTCAAATAAAGGAGGATGAGAAGAAAACAAAATTAGTCTATGAAAAATCAACGTATATTATTGGTGAATAAATATGATATGACAGATTTTTTTTATTATACCTATAGTTCAGAAACTGTCCAAATCTCTGTTGATTTTCACTACTTTATTTTCAATGAAAATTCATAAAAAGTATTTATTATTTAAAACAACTTACGTTTAAAATGAAATATTGCTAAATTGTACTATGTTATGAAATTGGTGCCATGTTTATATTAACAATATAAAAGTTGGTGATCCATTCATCCTTATTAGGATAATTGAGTATCTACCTGACAAGAAAATATGCGGCCAGGATTATCAATATGTTATTCAAAAGAGTTCAGTAGATACAGTACATAAATAAAAAAATGTTTCGTTTGATTTCAGAAATCGTATAATTAATTTAATGACTATTTTTCCCAGCTAAAGGAGAGAATAATCTCAAAAATTATGACTGATCATTGGATTTGAAGAATTAGCGGAGATATGGCGTACCGACAAAAAAACTTCTTTGAAAAAAAATATATTACGTTTAGTAGGTATATTGTGTAATTATACTTGAAGTAATAAAAAACAACAATTTTTTACAGTCTTATTTTTTTTTTTCTTTTGGAGCTTTCAAAAATATATTAAGATATTCTCAAATAAACCAGTCCACTTCTTATTAGTTTTTCAAATAATCGAAAACTATACATCTCCCGAAATATCGAAGTTGTTAATTATTAGGATACTTAATTAGTCCATCAGATCTTTCCTGGAAAGTATAAACTGAAATTAAGAGTTAACAGGGTGTTTAGTCTAAGAAATCATCGTTTATTTTTTATTAGGTTTTTTTAGTTTTGTGGTACAGTATACCAAATAACATTTTAACTTTTAAGAATGCATAGATTACGTGATCATTATTCCATGGTAATTAGTGTTGCCCAATGCGAGAACGAGACGAGTCTTGGTCTTGCAAACTCAGTCTTGGTCATGGTCTTGGTCTTGCGTAAGACTCTCGCAACAGTCTTGCAGTTACTTATTAGCTTATTACTATAGAGATATTACTGTAATTTTTTAGATAAGAGAAACTAAAGAAGTCTAGAGAAACCTAACTAAGCACTAATGAAAAATTAGAGAAGTTAAATGCAAAATTATATTGGTCATACCAATTATTTACATGTAATAACTAAGATTGTCAAGTATTAGTAACTATTTTGCCTTAATTTTTATTTTAAAAAAAATATTTCTTTTACCAGTCCTGGTCTTGGTCTTGCAACAGTTTACAAAGTGCAAGACCACGACCGATTTTGGGCAACACTAATGGTAATTGCGGCAACTAGAACGCTTTTGTAATGAAATACGGTTATTATATATTCGAATTATTTCGAACTTGGAAATTGTAAAAATGGTACAACTTTTGAATAATGTATCAATAAATAATATACCATGTTATCATTTTTTAATCAAAACTAGAACTTGTTAAAATAACAATTACCTGCTTGATTTGAGTGAATAAGGAGATTAATTTATCATTTGTTCAGATTTAATAGATTTCTTCCTTTACTAATTATGATACATATCAAATAACCGAGTAACCGAAGGTGGTCCTTGCAGTACACCCCCGAGAGGGAAAGAGAAGCGAGGAGCGGAGACGGACGAAGAAGGACGAAGACTGCCGAGCGGAGTGGGGGCACCGAAGGGACCCAGTCAACCCCCAGCCCTCTGCCAGTGCTAAAGTGGTGTGTGTCAAACCGGGGAGGATGCGTCCGGTACGGTGGGGCCGACACGATAAGCTCTGAATGCACCTCAACCTGTTCACGTGAGTAATTATATATCTAATCCAATATTAAAAATAAATATATATTTATATAAAAAAAAATATTGTAATAATGTTCCAGTGAAAAAAAAAAAAAAAAAAAAAACCTCTGAACTTTATCAGCACGAAATCAAAATGACATCAAGTCTGCTTTGGTCTACAAGTGAACTATTTAGCGACAAGTTTGTCTGCCTTGGTGGCAATATTTTTATAGTCCACTTAACTTATAACCACTCAAACAACTTTAATATACCACTTCATTTTTTTTTTCAACAACAATAATATACTGATAAAATACAGGTGATAAAAATAATAAGGTGAAATGATTATTTTAATAAATAAAAAATATTTACCTACACACTATTCCTTCTTTTTAAAAAAATAATATAGGGTATGAATACAATTAAAAAAAAAAAAACTTTATATTTTTTTATGCAAATGCATAATATATATATATATATATTAAAACGACTTTTTCAATTTAATGAAATATATTATTGATCATAAAAAAAAGAAATAATTTAAAAACGCATTTAAAAATAAATTAAAACTATTTTATAATATCTATGTAAATAAAATAGATAATATTTATAAAAAAATAAATATATATTCTTAAAAAGTTAACTTTCACTTTTAAATACTTGTTAGAAAGTAAACGCAGGTGTTCAAAATGTATTTTACGGAAATGCATTACTTTTTTTTATTTTTCACTGAAATTGGAACAGAAGCCAATGAAATTTGTTTTGTTTTCTAGATGATTTATATATTTTTTTAAAAATTATTTTCCTCAAATTGATTATAACTTGAACGGAATTTGAAAATTGAAACTTTCACATATATGATTTATAATAATTATAAATAACGGAAATATATAAATATAAGTAATATCTTCATATAAATTAAAATTATATATTTTCAAGCACTTTACTTAAATTCGCATAGATTCCTAAATTTTTTAAGATAGTCTTAATTATTATTATTAAATTAAAAAATAATTATTAAAATTTAACCTTTTTCGTCATATGGAATCGGTCGCGTCGCATTAAAATATAATTGTTTGTAAACACATACTTTTTTCAATTTAAAAAAAAATATATATATATATATCTAAGAGCCCTCTTGGGTAATATTAAATAATTTTGCAATCACATTCTCAATGTACCGATCAATCATAGTTAATCTTTAAACAAACAAAAATTTCCTGTTTGTTTTATAGAATTTTTATCGTAATAGTGCTCAAATTAAAATATTCTATTTCATAAAAAAGTACGCTTTACATCCGTTGACTTTAAAATTGAAGTCAATCCGATAACGTATTAGTCATTTAAAAAGCACATTTTCTTGATAATTTTATATTTATTATTTAAATAAATATTTATAATTGAGGAAATAAATATAAATTATAAGTATCATAACGGAAAGAAGGCTTTATTAATATAAAATTCTGTATTATCGATATAGTTGTAGGATATTTTCGAAAATTTTATTTGATTAAAACAATAAGGAAATCGTGATTCGACTCAATAGAGCGATTAATTTTATTAGTTTCTTTATGACTAGCGTGAAAGCCGCTCACGGTTTACCCGCCGATTGCGTTGTAGTGAAAATCTAGAAAAAATAAAATAAAATAATAATAAAAGTTTTTTTATTCGAAAAGGTGACTTATACAAAAAAAAAAAAAAAACATACAAAACACATGTATTTTTAACCGATTCGGTATTTTAAGCAAACAGATCATATAAAAGATATTGTAAATTATGTTATCATATAAAATAGGAGTCATTATTTAATAAAGTATTTAATGATTTATTGAATCTTATAGACAGTAAAATATAAAAATATTTTAAACCGTGAGACGTGTAATAAATCTCATAATACAGCGGTATGTCTTAAGTGTTGGTCGCACGTTTTATTACCACAATTATTTTCTTATAACTTATCTATGTAACTATAGATATTTACGATGTACAATAAACTACATCTTTATACAATTTTAATGAACCCGTTACCAACAATGAGTGTCATAAATTATAATACCTTTTATTTTAGATTTTAATTATGATTGTAGTGGAATTTTACTTTAAATGGTATTTTACAACAAAATAATCTGTTGTTTGAAGTTGTAGACAGTAAATAGTTTTCTTCTTAATATAATATATCGTAAATATAAAGAATAAATTAATAAATAAACACTACGCTAATGTAGAATAAAATAATTAAATAAAAGTAATTAAATAATATCGAATCCCTTCAAAAGGTTTTAAAAATAAGAAAATTAAAAAAAAAACAAGAAAAGTCTTTCAATTATTTTAGAAGCATTAAAATCTCCCGCAGCTGAGATTAAAGCTTTAAATAATATTTAAATGTTTCAAAAGAAAAAAAATTTTCGTTATTAATTTTATGATTTTTGAAATAAGAACTTTACCTTCCCTTTCAGTATTTGTAGAAGTTATGTTACTATATTGCCGTTAGATCATTTAAGTTGGGACTGCATTTATACAGTGCGGTTAGTAGTGTTTAATACTTTTAACATTGGTTATATAGTCTACAAATTGTTAGACATTACTTGACGCTTAAAATTCATTCACGGTGCATTTTTTATTATTTATAGTTTCAATATCTTGCATAAAGCTAAAAATAACAGATTTCTTCTAAAGAAATGAAGTAGTTGAAATTTTAGACTTAAGTAGCAAGCTTGAAATTACAATAATTTATTAAAAATATGTATTATTTATAAATAAATAGACAAATCATTATGGAATGATTATGTGGAAATAACAATACTTGATTCTACCAAAAATACTATGTTTTGATTCTAATTCTTTGGATTTGAAATCTCAATATCCGTTTAGAACGGCAAGTCAAGCTGTTATAGTGGATATGTCATTTATCATCATTTAAACATGACAATAATATATTAATTTAAAATATTTTATATTAATTATATACGCAAAGAATTTTATATTTTAATAATAATTAATAAATTATATTTATAAATTTTAAATTATATTATAAATTTATATTTCCTATGAAAAGTGGGCGCTTCAGGATTTCATCAAATATATCAATTGTTTGATATATTTTGCATAAAGAAAAAAAACATCTTATTATTCCTCTAGTGCTTTAATAATATTAAAGTTAAATTTTAGGAAAATTCAATATATTCCATCGTATTCACCAACGATGTAAAGTAGAAACATTTCATAAAAATGTTTTTTTATTTTAGTTATTTTGTTACTTGTTCTGTTAATAACAATAAAATATGTTAATAGAATAGTGTAATTAACGATGAGTCAGTCTCATGATTCAATGGTATAAATTAAATTGTATATGATTTAAAAGTAAAAACTGAAAGTGAATAATAGTATTTTATTTCATCTAGGTTAGGATGATATTTTAATTATTATATTGACGATAAGTGAATAAGTGAATTCTTTTTAGTTATTTTATTATTATAATTCTTTTAATTAAAGGTTCGAGACCTTACAATAAGGACTTCAAACAAAATTTTATTTTATTTTGATTTCACTGTTATTTATGTTACTTTTTTACTTATATTATTTTTAATCTATCTATACATGACAAGACTTATTGAACCCGAAGGTTTCATACTGATACCACTGTTCTACACACTTAACACTGGTCGCCGTCTAAACCCAACTCCAAAAGATAATGGTTACATTAGAGCAATCTTCGCATCAGTCAACCCCTCGAAATCAATTATATCTTTTACAATACTTTATTTTCAAAAACCTGAAGGTGTTGTTCATCTCTTCAGCCAGATCCGTGAGAAATAAAAGATTTCCGTAAATTTTAATTCAGCCGAGAGTAATTTTGAAAACGAAAAATAATAAGATTTTTCAGCCTTTAATTTCTCTTCAAATTCTGTTTAAATTTTTTACGAATTCAAACACTCTTGAATGAATCTTTGCCATTTCTGCTAATGACCATACATTTTGTGTTATATGTGATAAATATTCAGAACGCAGTCTTTTAAAAATAAATTTAAATTTTTAATTTTTTTTATTTGTGCCAACGTTTCAACATATGGGTCATCTTCAGGGCTGAGAATTTTAAAATACAATCAGAGATATAATATTATACGACCGATAATGGTAAATAATAAACTATAGTGGTTTGATAAACTACAGTCGACTAGCTTCCTCAAATAATTTTGTGTTATATTTCGGACTCCATTTCTCTACCGACTTTCAGTTTTGTTATTGTATTTAGTTCTCTGATTTCTGATTTTTTCTACATTAGAATCTAATTACAGAAGTGTTTAGTACTTGAAATATTTTATATGTCAACAATTTAAATTCTTGGCATTTTAAAATATAGTCTGATTAATGCACAAATTACATTTTTGAGGGTACTGAACTTTTAAGGCCGTTGTTAATTCCAACCATACTTAGCAATAAAAAATACACACTATGTGCACTAAAACGACACAAACTCTTTCACATATCAAATATAGTTGAAACAAGCGCATAAGTTTCACAAAGAGAAAATTCACTAAATATCTTAGTGATTTAAGGTTATAAAATGTCACTTCATGGCTTTTTGCGGAAACCCGACGATATCTTCTGCCTATGGATGCTAAGTAGTATAAATAAGAAATCTTCAAGAGAAAACTTTATTTTGATTTCAGCGGTACTAAACCAACTTTCCTTTTCTACTTGAAAAGGATTTAATATTGCTGTCTGTTAATGGCCAATCAAAGATTATAACCGATTTATTAATGTCAAACAATTAGCACTAATAAGCCGGTTATTTGTTCCAGAAAATTACTCCAGGAAAAGAAACACTTCGAATTCGAGGTTAAGTATTACTCGATACATTAGAGGCCGATAATGGGTATTAAATCGCGGCCGGACAAAATGGCCGAGAGTTTTAAATGGCCATTTTCAGGTGCCGGTTCGGTCCGAAACTGTTATAATATCAATCCTAACAGGCCGTTGGAATAATGGATCATTTGCCTCGGCCAATTTACAATATTTATC